GGAGGTGGGAAATAAGATTTGAGATGAGAGAATGAAGAAGGCGTGAAAGCACTTCTCAGGTCGAGACCATGCACCTACACTCGCACGCACACTCGTATCGACGCTCTCAGACCCACTCACACTACACTCGCACCTACTCATGCACACCTGCACTCCCAGTTACACTCTCGCAGCTACACTCTCGCAGCTACACTCTCGCACCCATAGTTCAGTAACCACATTGTAACCGCCACCGCCAGCCAGCAGAGCACCTGACGCCGGCCCAAGCAGCACGAGACTCGCGAGTCTTGTGCACTAAAAAGGCACTAACAGCTGCACTCACAGACAGCTACACTCGCAACTGCACTCGAGATCTGCTCTCTCAGTACCACTCACAGCTCTGTAACCACGTCGTAACCGCCACCGCCAGCGGAGCACCTGACACCGTCCCACGCCGCCGCACAGGGGTCGCCGCCCGTCCACGTGTTGAAGGGCGCGCTGCTGGGGTTACCCATGCCCGCAAGCTGCTGTAGAATGGCCACTGCGGAGTGCACGCATGAACGTGAGGGTAGGGGTGACGGGGTTATGGAATCTGAATGTGGTAGCACCCACAGGTGTCGCCGCCCGTCCACGTGTTGAAGGGCGCGCTGCTGGGGTTGCCCATGCCCGCAAGCTGCTGTAGAATGGCCACTGTGGGGTGCACGCATGAACGTGAGGGTAGGGGTGATGGGGTTATGGAATCTGAATGTGGTAGCACCCACAGGGGTCGCCGCCCGACCACGTGTTGAAGGGCGCGTTGCTGGGGTTGCCCATGCCCGCAAGCTGCTGTAGAATGGCCACTGTGGGGTGCACGCATGAACGTGAGGGTAGGGGTGATGGGGTTATGGAATCTGAATGTGGTAGCACCCACAGGGATCGCCGCCCGTCCACGTGTTGAAGGGCGCGCTGCTGGGGTTGCCCATGCCCGCAAGCTGCTGTAGAATGGCCACTGTGGGGTGCACGCATGAACGTGAGGGTAGGGGTGATGGGGTTATGGAATCTGAATGTGGTAGCACCCACAGGGGTCGCCGCCCGTCCACGTGTTGAAGGGCGCGCTGCTGGGATTGCCCATGCCCGCAAGCTGCTGTAGAATGGCCACTGTGGGGCGTGAGATTACGGGTGAAGGGGGGAATAGAATCCGAATGTGATAGGGGTTGAAGGGGCGCGTTGTTGGGATTGCCCATGCCCGCAATCTGCTGTAGAATGGCCACTGCGTGTGGATGAAGGGATGGCAGTGGAGGGAAGGAATGGAACCTCAGTGTGATAGATAGGGTGGGTGGCATGGGTCTTGCCCGTCCACGTGTTGAAGGGCGCGTTGTTGGGATTCCCCATGGCCGCACAAGCTGCTGTCAAAAAAGCCACTGCGTGTGGATTAAGGGATGGCAGTGGAAGGAAGGAATGGAACCTCAGTGCGATAGATAGGGGTGGGTGGCACGGGTTTTGCTCGTCCACGCGTTGAAGGGCGCGTTGTTGGGACTCCCCATGGCCGCAAGCTGCTGTAGAATGGCCACTGTGGGGTTGAAGCGAAGGCAGTGGATGCATAGGGATCTCCAAATGGAACATGGGGATTCCCGAAAGGAGCATCGGGATTGTCGAGAACTAAGGGATTCCCAAAAGGCAGAAACGGCCGCGGAGAAGTAGCAAGAAGACCTGATTGGTGATCTAAGCATGTGCTTAGAAGAAAAATCGATAGCCTCGCGTTTAAGCCCGAGGCGCGAAGACGTGCGCTATTTCCAAAATAACCAATTCTAGCGTCCGTGCCCTAGACCACTGGAGCACAATGGGGGTTATTTCAAAGGTCTCGAAATCGGCCTGCAAAAAAAAGTTCAGAGACTGTTATTTTGTAGAATCTGATTTTTGATACTTCTCAAGAACTAACACTACAACGGGGAATCTCCTTCATTAACCCCGGACCAACTCCGCCGTTAGAAGGTGATTTTCTGACATTCTGAACAATTCTCGAGAATTCTCTAAATATCTGGGACCAATTCTGTTGCTAAAAGCGAGCCAAGAATTCTATGACGAGAATGCGATCTCCCTACCTTGAGCGGGGTCCGTGGCCGCGAAAGCGTCTCTCGGAGGTATGCTAACGAGAAGCGCGGCGACTATTAACGCGGATAATGACGCCACCGAACGACGCGGCGCGTTCCACCTCATTTCGGGCTCTCCGCACAACAGGAAACGAAACCAAATGGTTCGACGCGAACGCGAGAGCGGGCGGTATTTCTAATGCAAGCGACTTCGGAAACGCTAAAAACTCTCCGCACAGCAGGAAAATCAACAAGAAAGGGTTCACGCGAACGCGTGAGCGTACGATGATCTATGTGAACTGTTTCGTCGTCAGTTGTAATTGTAGACAGGGAGAAAGCAGTGACTCGAATTTCCTGCTTTGGGAGACGGTCCAACGTCCAAGCTCCCACAGGCTGATGCCGTTTCAGCGCACACCTCACCTGACCTCCTGCTGAGTTCTGGGTGACGGTTGTCGTGAGTCCCCGTGTGACGCACGGCTCGCCACGCCACTGACCAAACCATCACGCCAGTCTGGGTTGGGAGACGAGCGAATCAAATGTGAATCTCCCATGCGCGGGACAAGCCGCACAAATCCTGATCGACCCTGCACGGGACTGATCGTGCGCGTGGTTAGAGAAGGTGTTAGAAGTTTAAATTGCAACAAACGAGATTTTAGTGCGGTGAAGGGTCGATTTTGCACGATTGATCGCAGGGGTCCCACTAGGAGCGTACGGTGTGCACCGCAAAATGACATAGCACACGTCGGTTCGGGCTCGGGTCCGACTACCGCACCTCCCCAAGAGATTTTTCCTAGGCTTGAAAAGGTATGATGCGATCAAAGCCAGGGGAAGACGTCCTGCTGGGGGTGCTTGCGTTGCGGGTGCAGCAGCCAGTGTGGTTCGGGGGAGGCTCGACGCTTGCCCAAAACAGCTTCATCCGAACCAAGTTTCGGCTCGGTCTATAAGTGGCAGCGCTACTTTGCCTTGGCCATCCGGCTTAGGTCCGAAACAGCTTTTTGGTCCGTCCGAACCTCGATATTGCAATTGTTCGATAAGGAAAGTTCGAGATTTACCTAAAGCTAAAATGGTTACACGCCCTTAGTCAGTAGTCGGTAATCGAGTCTGAATTGCGTCGAACTTGAAATATGATAAGACTCACTGATTACGACCGTTCTTTATGACTGCGTGTTGTAACGAGGCTAATAATAGAGGCTCAAACAACCCTGGCTCGCAACGGCGTTGTTCTGCAGCCATCCTGAGAGGGGAGGTGAGAGAAAATGATGAATCTTCAAACGACGGTTCCATTCCCTTACCTCACCCGAACCTCTTTACGTCAGCAAAAGTGTCCAGTCACCAACAGTAGAAAATGAGCAACAGATCGCAATGACGTCAGCTGGCGGGGAACTTCGCGAGAAAGGGAGGAAACTGCAAGCGGAAGCTACGAAGCCACACCCTCAATTGCGCAAAATTTGACAGAGGGCTGTACGGTCGCCCTTGCATACAATACAGGGGTACGAAAACCTGGGCTGGGTGTGCTATTTCTTAAAACAAAAGGAGCAAGAAGCTCTTCAACCAGGTGGGTCGTTGGAGGTTGAGCAACACTTTTGGCATGACTACCCGGGATTAACCTGTCGAAAGCACACGTGGGTGTTTTCGTGGGTGAAGTAATGGTGTTCCCTAACGCGCTGCTTCTGTTCCATGACAGAAGTGGTTCCCCCCAAAGGGTGGTATGCGAATGGGTAAGCGAGAGAATTTGGAGTTGCCTGTGGAAGAAGGTGGGTTCGTAGCTTCCTCCTCACCATTTCCCTGACGGAAATGTAGCGTTCTGCAGCACTTCCCTTCACAGTGGTTCGCAAGGTAAGTGGCCGGCTCGACACCAATTTTGGGGCTGACCGTGTCACCAAACCTAAAATTTAAAACCCCGGCAGTTTCCTACTTCCCGTTACGTGACGGAAAGTGTGGCTGCAGAACAACGCCAAAATGTCTCTTCTGGTCTAGAGCCATTGCCCATCGTCCTTATTTGTGTTGCGGATGGACCTATCGCTAGCGTCTAAGGTGCGGAGTGCAACGCAGCAGGCGGAGTGAGGAGTGTCAGAGGATAAGGCCGGTTCTTTGAGGATCAGGCTGGTTCTTTGAGGCTCGAAAGCGCTCGGAATGATGGCGTGCTCTCTCTCAGTCTCGCGTGCCTCGATACTGACAGCCTCGCGTGCTCCGATATCGAAATCCTCACGCGCCTCGATATTTTCCCGAGTCTTATCCGCTCGCGCTACCTGTGATGGGGCGATCGGCAGTCGACTGACCACTGGGTCATTACTCACCTTTCCCGCGTTAATCGCCTCGCGGTCTTTGATCGCGTGCCGCTCACTTAAGTCATCAGCCACGTGCCGCTCACTTACGGCATCGCCTGCCTTTACTTCAGTGCCTTCGACTTACCCCTCCATCTCTCCTAGTACACTCCATCAGCGTTTTAAGCTTCACCGCGCCGCATTCAGTCTGACAGCCGGTATGCCGGCTAGTCTACCGGCTAGTCCATCCAACACCTCATATCGCGCCGGCCCATCTTCCTCGTCGCGTATTCCAGCCAGCCGATCCGCTCATTCCACATTGTCACACTCCCGCCATCGTCTCCCGATAGGAGCACTCAGGCAAATTACCTATTTCTCGTCACCCGCACATACACCGCCAAAGAAGTTTCTTCGCTCCTTCCTCTGGGGAACGCGATTTTGCGTCGACACGCACTTACCAGCGCATTTCTTGCCGGATATCACGGCACCTGCCATTGGTCGACGCAGCAGCTCCACCATCCATCTGCCAGGCTCGGCACAACCCAAACCCGAGCCTCGGCACCAGCCACCGAACCTGCCTCCGTACCTCACCGTAGCCTCGGTAACCCGCGAAAACTTTGAGGAAGTGTTCGAAACCCAATTCCAACCCGCGCTGCAAGCGGCTGACTTCGTTTGTCTGGATCTGGAAATGAGCGGCCTGGATTCGGGGTCGTTCAGGCGACCGTTGGATTCGGACACTGTAGCGACGCGGTTCCTGCACGGGCGGCACAGCGCGATGCAGTTCGCAGTTATGCAGCTGGGCGTGTGCACGTTCAAATGGGACGAAGGGAGAAAAGAGTTCATTGTTCACCCGTAAGTATCCATGTATTATCAGGTAATTAGGGGGGCACAGGAACAGCTGGAGGTGTGCACGTTCAAGTGGGACGAGCAGCAAAGGGAATTTATCGTTCACCGTGAGTATCCTGTCTAGTCAAGGTCGCAGCAGCAGCAGCAGCAAGCCGCCCTCTTTGCAGCTCCACCTTCTCTCTCTCGCCTTCCCCCGCCCCCCACCACTACCCCACCCTTTCCCCTCCCATGCACCCAGATTCAATTTTAAGGTGCTTGATTGGTCGGAGATTTTGGGCTTTAAGGGCATGCCAGAGAGCTCTATTCTCGCCAGCCGCCCTCTTTGAAGCTCAACCTTCTCCCTCTCCTCTTCTCCCACCACACCTCCAACCCCCTGCTCTCCCCATCCTTCTCTTCCCATTCCCCTTATCCCCGCAGGTTCAACTTCAAGGTCTTCCCGCGGTCGGAGATCCCGGGCTTTAAGGGCGTGCCGGCACACTCCTTCCAGTGCCAGCCATCGTCGTTGGAGTTCCTGGCAGCACACCACCTCGACTTCAACTCCTGGGTGCACCACGGTGGGTGGCGGTGGGTGGTGGGTGTGGATGGGTGATGAGTGGTGTGGGATGGTGGTGTGGTGTGAGGTGCCTGTGATTCATTCCTTCCAGTGCCAGCCGTCCTCGTTGGAGTTCCTGGCAGCACACCACCTCGATTTCAACCTCTGGGTGCACCACGGTGGGTGGCGGTGCTGATGTGTGGAGCATGGTGGGTGATATTTTCCGCGAGTGAGTATGATGGCCATGCCTCCATGCATCCATGAATCCATGCATGCATGCGTTCCCCATCCTATCCCCAAACCTCCAATGCAACTCATCCGTCCATTTCCGCAGGAATCTCGTACCTGTCGTACGAGCAAGAGGAAGCCGCATGGAATTTTCTCGAGATCCCTCCCCCGTCAGCAACAGCCACCAATATAGCCGCAGGCTCCAGCCAAAAAGGAGCTGCTGACGTGGCACAGCCAGCCAATCGCACGCAATTCAGCACAAGCACCAGCAGCACAAGCAGGTACAGGTGGCGGGACAGCAGCGACAGGAGTGACCCGTCAAGCCCGCCATTCCCCGGGGTGCAGTTTGCAGTGAAGAGCCTGGCCCGCGTTGACCTGTGGCTCGCACAACTCCGAGCAGCAGCACAGGAGGTGGAGCAGGAGCAGGAGGAGCAGGAGGAGCAGCAGCAGGAGGAGCAGCCTTTGGCAAAGGGCGTTGCGAGTAGTGTGCTTGGGGAGGGTCCAGAGGGATTTTCACGGGAGGCTGCGGTAAGGGGTGTGGGAGGGGACGGGAGCAGCAGCAGCAGCAGTGGTTTACAGCCTGCGTTAGCAGCAGTGGTTGGGAAGAGGCCTTGGCTCTCTCTTCGAATCAACGACGCATTTAACTGCCATGCTGCCGACCAGGTGAGGTGATGTGCCTTGGTATGATATGCCATGCCATGCCATTGTTTCTCAACAACAGGCCATCAACAAGAGCAGCGAAAGAAGCGAAACAAGAGATGCAGGTCCAGGAAGGGAAGATTCAGGACTAGGAAGAGCAGCTTCAGGAGTTTCGAGGGAGGATGGTTCAGCAGCTCCCCTCCTCCTCTGAAACCATCCACCCTCGAAGCTCCTGAAGCTACTCTTCCTGCTCCTGAATCGTCCCTTCCTGCTCCTGTATCTCTTGCTTCGCCCCTTCAAGATCTTCGAGGGAGGATGCCATCCAATGCCATGCCACATCGTTTTCAACACGAGATATGCTGGAGGCACCTCATAAGCTCTGCCACCTACTTTGCGTGATACGTTTCCCTTTCCGTTTGCCGACATTGTCAATCGCTCTGACATGTTTTGGTCAACATGAAAACTGACTCGTTATCACTTCCTTGCGCAATGTTTCCCCCCCCACCTTTTTTTTTTCGCCCGAATGTCTGGGCCTTCAATTACAGGCAATTCGTCATAAGCACCCCTATCTGGCGTCACATGAGGAGCGGATCGGTGCGTACAAGAAAGTGCGGCTCTTCCTGTGCAAGTCAAAGGAGGAGGCTGAGAGGCTGCAGGTGAGTACACTTTATAAGTACATTATACATACGCATATTGATATGTATGCATATATATGTATATGTATCTGAAAAATATTGCAAGGGGAGGGGACTGACTGCAGTTGAAAGACTGGCAGGGAAAGAAAGTAGTAGCTCACTCTCCTTGTCACCATTTTCTCTTTCACTGCACCTGCAGTAACCCACTCATTCCATCACCATCCCCATGCTCTAAATGCTTGCTTTCCCCTGCGCTGCCTGACTGCAGGAGAGACTGCTGGAGCTGCGGCAGGCGGGGGCAGCAGCGGTGGTGCGCAGAGCAGTGGGGGTGAGGCGAGTGGTGGATGCCGTGTCTCTGGCGTGCCAGAGTAAACCTCTTGTGGCACACTCCTGCTTCCTTGGTATGTTTTAATTCGTAGACGTCTCAAAACTCACGGGTGGTTGCAGCAGTGCGCAGAGCAGAAGGGATGAGGCGGGTGGTGGACGCCTTGACTCTGGTGGCGTGCCAGGATAAGCCGTTGGTGTCGCACTCCTGCTTCCTTGGCGGGTTCTTATGCACACATGCACACATGCACACATGCACACATGCACGCATGCACGCATGCACACATGCACGCATGTGCACATGCACGCACGCGCACATGCACACACGCACACATGTGCACATGCGCACATGCACACATGCGCACATGCTCACATGCACTCATGCACACATGCACACATGCACACACGTGTGCCCACATGCACACATGCACACATGCACACATGCATACATGCACACATGCGCACATGCTCACATGCTCACATGCACACGTGCACATATGCACACATGCTCACATGCACACATGCACACATGCTCACATGCACACATGCACACATGCTCACATGCGCACCTGCGCACATGCGCACATGCTCACATGCACACATGCACGCATGCTCACATGCACACATGCACACATGCTCACATGCACACATGCACACATGCTCACATGCGCACCTGCGCACATGCGCACATGCTCACATGCACACATGCACGCATGCTCACATGCACACATGCACACATGCTCACATGCACACATGCACACATGCTCACATGCGCACATGCACACATGCGCACATGCTCACATGCACACATGCACACATGCACACATGCACACATGCACACATGCACACATGCACACATGCACACATGCACACATACACTCTCACATTCACACATGCTCAGGTGCACACATGCACACATGCTCACATGCACACATGCACACATGCACACACAAAACACGAGTGATGGGGTGAGTCGAGTGGTGGACCCCTATCCCTGGTGCATCAGAACAAGCCATTGGTCGCGCACTCCTGCTTCCTTGGTGTTTTGAGGCGTTCCATTAGTCATGGGGGCGGTTGCTGTGGTGCGCAGAGCAGTGGGGGTCAGGCAACTGGTGGATGCCTTGTCCCTGGCGTGCCAGAGTAAACCCCTTACGTGTGCACTCCTGCTTCCTTGGTGGATGTTCCGGGGTGGGTGTTTGAGGCGTTCCAGTAGCCATGGGGGCGGTTGCATTGATGCGCAGAGCAGTGGGGCTGATTCCTTGTCCCGTCCCCGACGTCTCTCTGGTCTCTCCTCCGACGTCTCTCTGCTCTCTCCCCCGACATTCTCTCGCATTCTCCACAAGTTGGAGGGTCACGTCCCGCCCTACCTCTCACCTGCAGCAGCATCTTTCTCCTCCCTCTGAGTACATCCTCCCCCATTGTTCACCCGCCTCCCCCATTTCCACGCAGCTCGCATTCTCCACAACTGCGTGGCCCAAAGGCCACCTTCCAAATCCTTCTACAGCAGCGTCACATTCAATCACAGCATCGAAACCCTCTTCTGCCTGCACATTATACCCCTTCCCGTTTGCATCGTCTCCCTTCCACTCCCACGCAGACCTCTCCCACATTCTCCACAAGTTCGTAGGCTGAGAGCTCCCGTGCCTACCTCCCACCTACACATCGGCGTCCTCCCACTGATTTCATCCGCCCCCATCTCACCCGCCTTCCACTCCCCACGCACGCAGATCTCTCCCACATTCTGCACAAGTTTGTGGGCCACGTTCCGCCCTCCCCAGCACTCTTCTCTCGCGAGGTCCGCCGGCTCTTCCCCGCCCTCTTTGACACCACCTGCCTCGCTGCTGCCTCGCTTGTGGCACAGGTGTGTGACATTTCTGCGTTCAAAGGATGGGTGCTGCTAGCCGGCGCTTCCCTGTGATCTTGCACAGGTATTTGTGCTGCTGCTGTGGTACTGCAAATGAGGGGTGTGATCAGCAGGCGTGTAACGCGGTGTTGAAGGTTAGAAAGCTTGCTGTGTAACAAGAAAGTGGTTGGAAAAGCAGGTGGTGTGGAATGCAGTCGTTTCTTCTCTCCAACCTACCACCTCCATTCTTCTACCGTGTCCTTGCAAGCGATTGTCGGATCAACTCGAGTCTCTTTGTGCTTGCTTGTTTCAACCGATCGCCTCCCAATTTGCCTTTGCCCTTGCTGGAAGCTGCAAGCAGCATGAAAGGAGTTTCGTCTTCAGGTGCATCATCACCACCGGGAAGATGCACCTGAAAAGCAGGGAAGAGCAGACCTTTCAAAAATCTCCCTGCCAGCAGCTCTTCCAAGCAGGATACAACAACAGATTCGTTACTGCCAAGCCTTTGCTAGAAGTTACTTTTTGTCTGCTGCTCGCTTAATCACATGGGTGATCGTCATCATGGGGAGGAGGGGAGCTGACGAACTTCCCTGCCAGCTCTTCCAGGCATCTCAAAACGAGCCTCTTTTCTCTTCTTGTCTCTGACCACCCGCCTCCCTGTCTTCCCGTGACCTTCCAGGAAGCTGCGAGCACCAACAGGCGGGCGTCGCTTGGTGCGCTGTATGATACTTCCCGGAACCTTCCGTTTGTGGATGGGGCGCCCATGCGAGTGCGGTTCAGTCACGAGGCTGGCAGGTGAGCGGGGAGAGGGGGAAGAGACACATGGTAAGTAGATTTTTCAAAAGATTTTTCTTGAGACATCTTGCAGGCAATCTTTCAGATGATGGGGTGCCCATGCGAGTGCGGTTCAATCACGAGGCTTCCAGGTGGGGGGGGAGGGGGTGGAGTGGGGAAGGGGAGTTGAGAGCAAGCGGGTGAGAGAGGAGAAGTGGGTGAGAGGGAGGGGTGAGAGAGGAAAGGAAGATGAGTGAAGAAGGAAGAGTGAGGCTAGGTGTTGTAACTTGTAGCTTCACGCATGCCTTCCCCCCAGTTCCTTTTAAGTGTGTTCTGGGGAGTCTAGATGCGTAGAATCCCCCATTTTTTATGGCTATGTTTTGTGAAATTTCTAGACATGCTCACACGCCCATAACTCCAAGGATGTCATCCGTGCACTCCAAATCTCAATTGTCAGATACTCCGCATCCAACGGCCAGGATCCAGGGCACGAGGCAGCATACGATGCATTCATGACTGGAGTGGTGTTCGCCCAGGCCTGCCACCGCCTCGGCCTCCCCCCCAACCCCCCACACCTCTCCTCACTCCCCCCTCCCGGCTTCCCGTCTCATAATCTCTTTTCCCCCTCACCCCCCCCCGCCGCCCCCCTAACCCCCTCCAACCTTTCTGAACCGTCAGATACTCTGCATCCAACGGCCAGGATCCAAGGCACGAGGCAGCATACGATGCTTTCATGACAGGAGTGGTGTTCGCCCAGACCTGCCACCGCCTGGGTCTCCCCCCTCACTGCCTCTCCTCCCTCCCCCCTGCTGCTGCTGCTGCCGCCACGGCTGCTAGGGAGGAGGCAGGGAGGTGGAGAGAGGAGAGAGGGAGAGGGAGGTTGGGAGATGGGGAGGGAGAGGGGGTGGGGAGAGGTGAGAGGGGGAGAGAGGGTGAAGGTGGGAGATGGGTGGTGGAGAGGTGGAGGCGAGGAGAAGGAGTCGTGAGTGGGAGGATAGGGACTGACAGGGATCACAGTGAAGGGAGCAGCGACGGAAGCGCAGTAGTGGCGGCAGCGCCAACACCATCAGCAGCAGCAACAGGGCAAGCAGAATTAAAATCAGCACAATCAGCAGCAGCAGAGGAATCAGAACTATCAGCAGCAACAGCAGCAGAATTAGCACATTCAGCAGCAGAAACAGCAGTGGGTGGGCTATCCAACATCACGACCCTCATAGGCAAGGGCACTCGGGATATCCACCTGGACCTTGCCACGGGGCACGCTGCCATTGGCTCTCGTGCCGCTCCCCTCCTCGCCTCCCTTGACACTCTCACACATGGAACCTCTTATTCCTTTTCCTCCTTTTCCCCCACTACCAGCACCCCCCGCAGCACCAGCACCAGCACCAGCACCAGCACCACCAGCAGCAGCAGCAGCAGCAGCACCAGCAGCAGTGGCAGGGAGGAGGAGGATCGGTCCAACGTGCTCTTCCTGTGGGGTCTGCCCCCGTCCCTCCCTCACCAGCGCCTGCGCTTCCTGCTCCGAGGGGCCCTGGGCCGCAACACTCCCTTGGATCTCGAACCTGTTGATAGTGGCGCTGCTTTGGTGCGGTTCGGCAGCGGCAAGGAGAGGGACGTGGAGAATCTGGGCAAGGTTATGTGGAGGCTGGGACGAGCGTTAGTGGGAGGGGCAGGGCGTGGGAAAGGTGGTGATGATGGTGGTGGTGGTGGTAGTGGTGTGAGAATACGGGATGGAGGGGAGAGGTTGGGAGAGAGTGAAGCGGTTGCGAAGGAGATGGTTTCGCTTGGGATTCGTGCCGCACCTTTCTCTGCGTTTGTCACCTTGTGTGAGTCTACTGTTCCGTTTTTGTCCGCTACTGAGGGTGCAAATGTTATAAGGTTGGAGGAGTATCTAGTGTCTGCCGCCCAGAGATCCCCGGATCATGCGCATTCTGCCAAAACAAGCCGAACCAGCAGGAAGGAAGGGCGGGGAGCAAGATGTTGGAAACAATAAAACTTAAGCGCTTCAGTCGTGTCGAAAACACCGCATCAGAAGCGAGGCAAACTACACCGAAGCACCCGCGAGTCAACCCTCGGGGGTTGAAGAGGTTGCTGGAGGTTACGCGAAAGTCAAAGGTCAGCGACCCTTGACCCGACAAATACAGCGCGACAGTTAAGGACATACAACTGACTCGTTACAGAGCAGTTGCCCGAGTCGTACTGTATCGAACCGCAACAGCAACAGCAAAAGCAGTTATAACTGTATCCCTTGATATTTCCTACATTATTATATATTCTTGTACTCTCTTGTTATAATTAATCTACTTTGCCCTCACATACTAGCGCAAGGTGGTTCACAATTTCTTCACTGAAAGCTTCCGCTATTACAATTGTCCTATCCAGAGTTCTCCCCTGAAAAGATCCTAAGGGGCTATCTCAGCCCAACATGGTATGAGAGCAGTCAGGGGAAATTCTACCTCTTCCAAATCAAAGACATTACAAGACATGGCAACAAACAAGGAGAGGAGCTCTTCTAATGGCTCCCCGGGCACTACTCCTACACCACCTCCTGCCTCTGGCCTGCAGACAGAGGAAGGCACGGCAACAAGACCTAGGGGAACGTCCACCGAGACTCTCACAAATCGCCCCACGGGCTTTGACCAGAGCATGATGGAGAAGTTCTTCTCCTTCATGTCCTTCTACGAGCAGCACCAGCAGTCGGGACCTGCACAGACACACAACAGCAACAACGGAGTGACGCCCATGAGCCTTGATGGGTCGTCATACGCGCGCGGAAATCAACAGCAGCAACCTACCTTCGCCCCGTACGAACGCGGGTCAATCAGCTTCATGCCGCAGTCTTCGCCTGCACAAGACAAATCACTGGACGCGTTACAAGTACAGTCGCAGTTCGCACACGTTTTGAAGCTTCAAACGTCAAGACCATTCGACGGAAAGGACTTCTTCACCTGGTCCTTTGAGTTCGAGTTGATGATGGAGGGCGCGCAGATACTTGGCTTCTTCGACGGGTCCCTGCAATACCCAGCAAACGGCACACAGTATGAGAAGCAGCAGTACACGTATCAATCGATGATGGCGTATACGATCCTACTGAGGAACGTAACACCAACTCAACAGCAGAACATTCGCTCTTACCGGGCCTTCGGCAACTCGGCGGAACTCGCGTACAACCATCTGAAGAACCTGTACCAAGCAACAGACAGTGTAAATCAGAGCAGGTTAATGGCGCAGCTGACAACAGTTGAGATGAAACCAGGAGAGAAAGGAATGGCATATATCAGTCGATGTCGCGAACTGCGCGACAAGCTTCTTCGATGTGGAGGATCAATCTCTGAGGACGCCTTCGTGACGGTCATCATCGGCGGCCTTGGTCCTCAGTGGCGCGCAACAAAGGCCATACTCCGAGCCCACGGACGAATCTCTGAGGCAGCACTCTGCGCCGAAATCCACGCCGAACAGCAGGACATGGATCTGCAAGAAGAACGACACAGGAAGAAGACGACAACGTCAGAGTTCGCATTTCACACCCAACGACAACACAACAACTACAGCAACAGACAACAACGACCGAAGCCAGTACCTCCCTTCTGTCACATCTGCAAGACTTCAGGGCACCCGCGCACGCACTGCCCGAATCGTCAACAGTCAACGACCCCGCAACGACACCTTCGACCTTCAAGCAGTCAAATTGCGTCAACGCAAGCGAATCCAACGACCCAGATCCAAGCTTCAACGACCTCAACGGGACAACCTGCGCAAGGAGCAAGAAACATCGTTAGCTGCATGGCAAGACTGAGTGACTCTTGCGTCATGGATTCACCACCTCATTACTCACCGGAAGAACAACTCGACAACACCACACCTCGTCGCGAAGCACTTCAACCAAATCCGACATACGCTGCCATCGCCCAAAACGAGCCATCCGGAAAAGACACGTGGTTCTTGGACAGTTGCTGCGGACAACACATGTGTTCTTCGGGACGCTTCGTGCAGAGAGAGTATCAGCTTCAACGAGAGGTCGTCATCACCGTCGCCAATAATCAAAGCCTGCGCACACGACGACAAGGAATTGTACAACTTCAGTCACGGGAGACAAACGTCATCCTACAAATGTCCAAGGTTTTAATTGCAGAAGGCCTCGGATACAACCTTCTCAGTGTGAGTCAGTTGATGGCGAAAGGCATCCACCTCGAAGCAGACAGCACTACCCAAGAATTCAAGTTGTACCACGGGAGAGGAGGTCTTTACATCGGGAAGGCAGTCCTTAAAAACAATGTCTTCGTCTTGGACTTCGTTCCTGATCTCGGCACCGCTGACAGTGACGCCATAGTCAACTTTACCAACTGGACACACCCTCCGGATCTTGACCCCGACTTCAGTCCAGGCGGCTTCTGGTACTCACACACCGTCCCTGAGACAGAACGAACAAGGGCATTAGCGACAATTCAACAATCGGCAGCAGCAGAGACAACGTCGGCAGCAGCAGAGACAACGTCGGCAGCAGTAGAAACATCATCGGCAGCAACAGCGACAACGACGACACCAGTCGCCGGTCCTTCAACGACGGCGTTCCTCAACGACAATGCACCACCAACACCTGCACAACAGCTCCAGCCAGCACCACGAGAATTTCATCACAGTCCCAGCTTCACCGCTGGTCTCTTCTCCAACTCCGACATGTATCGGCGCTCACCCGGTCATCGCGCCAACGAAGAAATCTGGCACGCAAGAATGGGACACCCAAGCAACACTGTGTTAAACAACACGATTCGAGCAGGAGTACTCGACAAGGACTCTTTACTTTTAACAGACGGACGAGAACTTCAACGAGCACGAGGGACATGCTTCACCTGTCCTGAAGCTGACTTACCGCATCAACCCTTCGTCTCGCATCACAATCCAAGCGCACCCGCATATGCACCACTCGAGAAAGTGTACAGCGACATCCTGTACAACCGCGAACCCGGACAAAACGCGTATAACTACACCATCACCTTCATCGACGCCGCCACACGTTACGTCTGGCACCTAAACTTACCAAGTCGCGACATGGCTTTCGAAGCTTTCATGGCATGGCTTCCAGCAGCAGAACGGGAATCGGGAGCTAAACTCAAAAGTTTTCAATCAGACGGAGGAGGAGAATACTCGTCACAACGATTCAAGCAGTACCTGGCGGAGAAGGGAATCAAGAGACTCATCTCCCTTCCCTACGCCCATCAACAGCAGGGTGTAACGGAAAGGATGAACAGGACCCTGCAGAACACCATGCGCAAACTGTTACGTGGCATGCGGCTACCCAACCACCAGTGGCCCGAAGCAATGGACCACGCCGTGATGCTGCACAATTTGCTTTCTTCGTCGTCACTCCCGAACAACACATCACCGCATCTGCTGTGGACAGGGAAACTGGGCAGCACAAAAATGTTACGAGTCTTCGGCTGCATGGTACAGTACCGACCCCCATCTGCACGAGCCGGCCGATTCTCCCAACGCGCACAGTGGGGACTACACCTGGGCATCGAAAAACATTACAACGCATGGAAGATCTTCGATATCAACAGCAAGGAAACAGTAGCAGCACGTGATGTGATCTTCTACGAGCGGCTCACACTGCCAACATACCTTGCCAACCTGGACGAAAATCGAGACCCCACAGGTGGCTTCCGTGGCGATCGAGCCTTCGCTTCGGCAGAAGACGAAGCTGACTGGGACGAGCAGAACGTGGAAGGAGCCTCGGAAGAAGCCGGACCTCTTCCCTACTGCTCAGTGGACGTACCGATGGACAAAGATAACCCTCGCGAAAGCGTCAACGCCGAAACCTACTACCACTTCGCCGACAACGGTTACGTTACACCTGCTGAAGTCAACACCAACGAAGCAGAACGCATAGGGCCCAACTTCGCACCTGATCCAGAAGCTGGAGACGAGGCAGTCTATCCCGAGGACACCACACTTCCCCGCTACACACAGAGCGGACTCCAAATCCTTGGGCTCGTCACCGCGGTCCACGGCGCTGACATTCCTAAGGAGCCTGCAACGGTTCAGCAGGCTCTGGGGGGGGAGCATAAAGAAAAATGGCGCGAAGCCATGGACAAGGAACTGAAGGCATTAGAGGAGCGCAACACCTGGAAAGTCGTTCCCATCGGCGTAGCGCGAAACAAGACCATTCTTACCGGGAAATGGGTCTTCCGTGTGAAGACCAAGGCCGACGGCACCGTCGACAAGTTCAAAGCACGATGGGTCGTTCGCGGCTTCGACCAGGAACATGGACGAGACTTCACTGAAACCTTCGCTCCGGTCAGCCGCCACACTTCACTTCGAATTCTTCTCGCCATCGCCGCTATGAAGAAGAAGAAACTGCGCCAAATCGACGTCGCGAACGCATTTCTCTACGCACCGGTCGATGCAGAGATTTTCGTGGAACTACCGCACGGCTCTAATACAAATTCCACGCACGTCTGCCAGCTACTAAAATCGCTCTACGGGATCAAACAGGCGCCGCGACTGTGGCAACAGTACCTGCATGCTCGCCTCATCCGCATCGGCTTCAAACAACTCCCGCACGATCAGGGCATGTACCGCCTCACGAAGAGCACTGACTACATTCTTCTAATCGTCTATGTGGACGATCTCCTCTACATCGGTTCTACCGACGGCATCACCACCTGGTTCGAAGGGGAGCTGCAGAAGGACCTCACCCTCACTGTCTTATCTACCGTCACACAGTACCTCGGACTTAACATTCGAGAAGATAACAACGCGATCTACCTCAGCGCCGAGAAGTACGCCGACACCATCGCCAAACGATTCAGTATTACGCCAGCCGCGATCTCAACACCATACCGCTACACGACAGGAACCGACAAGGAATCTGCTGTACTTAAGCCCGCCGGCATACGCGACTATCAGAGGAAGCTAGGTTGCCTTCTCTTCGCAGCCGTCACCTGCCGACCCGACCTATCCTACTCCGCAAGCCAGCTCGCCACTTATCTC